CATCAAACACAATATTGAAGATTATCCACTCCAAAGCCAATGGGAGCCAATCTGACCCCCAAGCCTCCCCTCCTTATATACGCCACTGGTTTCGCTAATAATCGAGAGTTTATTGTAAAAACCTAACCTAACCTAACCTTTGATATTATATTATAGTACCACCATCCACCAGCTTGGTTTTTATTTAAAAATATTAATTGTCATATGATAGTCTGGTATTCATGTTTTACTTAAGCACTGTGATACTACTATTTGATAATAAGGATGACGTATAAAAAAAAATTATTTAAATAATCCAATGGTTTACAAGGTATATTCCAAACAGGTTGTGATGTATTTTTCAATATGATGTTCTAGAACTGTTCCAAATATGCTTTTACCGCTTTTACTTTATAGTTTCAACCAACAGCAATGATACTCGTTGCTCTATAAAAACAAAATAATAGATTTTATACTTTTAAACGCGAACATACCTATATATATATATTATATAAGTTAGGTTATATTATTTATGTATACTTCGGCCAGCGGTGGTATTGTTTCATCTTTCATATCGAATAAATTGTATACAGCCACATTCACCGAACTACAGACCCGAAACTGGCCGAAAGCTTCTCTTATAGTTGTATACGTAGGTACTCTATTGTCACTTGCTCACATCAAGAGCCAAGACACAAACTGCAGTAAATCGTAAATGCATTAGTCATAGTCCATAGAGTACCTATGTATTATACTACCTAATAATAGGTAATATATTCTATTTAATAATAATTACGTTACTTGTTTACTCGTATACGGTGTATACTTTTTTATTTGTTCGTTAAAACACTATAATAACAACTGCAGCGGCGGTGCGGCGGGCACATCGTGGCACGACTTTCGTGAAATACTAACAAAGTAGACGATTGTAAAATATGTATATCCATTATTATCCAATGTTACAATAATATGCATTTACTGTATACCTACACATTACACATACAATATACACCTACGCATTGTATATTAGTCACCATCGATTAAAATCCAGAAGCCGATATAGGGCGTTATAATAATATTATTATTATTATTAGATACATAATATTATAATCACAAAATAATTAGACAGATATATAAAATGTTGCACACAACATATATAATTATATACAAAATATACGGAGTGATTCACCAAGCATGATCACCGCCATATTTTTCTTTAATAATGAATTTATTTGAATTCTGATAAATATACTTAAAGCCTAAAGACTTCGTTTTTAAATTATTGAGATTTTTCCGCTACTTTAAAAGTGTCCTGTGGAGATACATACTCCTGTTTTACAAACGAGAACCCCCTTTTTGAATATAAATTAATTAGTGGATAATTTTTTTTTTAAAGTTGGTGTATCTAGCTTGTAAAAATATTTGAACAAATAGTTTCTCAGTTATGAAAATGTTTATATTAATGATAATAGTACTTAAAAATGATTTCACAAAAATATAAAAAGATGTACCTATAGTATTGGATCTAGTATTTACAATGCTTGAACCATTTTTACACATAATTATAATTAACAACTGTTGATATATTAATAATAATTATTACTTCTATTTTCAAATAACCATAGCCTAATAAAGTTAAATAACTCAAAACTTACTAGTTCGAATTATGGTTTTGATATGTCAACATTTACTGAAAAATTATCCACTAAATTATTTACATCAGAAAAGAGGGGTTCTCGTTTGAAAAAAGAAGTATGTATCCCTACCCCAAAGGACACTCATTAAATATAGCGCGAAAAAATCCTAAGAGTTTAAAATGTAGTCTTTACAAGTATAATATTTAAAAATTCAAAAAATCAGATTTTGAATAACTGCATTATTGAAGAAGAAAAAAGGGGTGTGTGTGTGTGTGTGTCTTGGCGAATCACTCTGTATATGTAGTTATACTATGTACAGCACACCCTCGTAGCGTTCAATTATTTCATCGTCCAAAGTTGATGGTTAGGAAATCGATTTTGAAACGAACGCGTTCCCTCCCCGATAATCGTCCTCTAACACGTTTATAATAATATATGTACGCTAAAACGTCTGTATAGCTGATAGATATAATAAATAGCTACTGCAGGTATATGGAGATATAGGTTAGCGCGTTCGTGCAATGATCTTTATCGCGTGTACTTTTTAATATTAATTCATACTATATACGAGCCCAAAACATGGTATATATTATCAGTCGAGTGGATAATTAAAAAAAAGAAAAAAAGTGTTTAAAATGTTTGATTTCCGATGGAAAATAATACAAACAACTTCGTGACTGCAGTACACCTATTATTATATTATAAATGTACCACCACGGAATCGAATAGTCGCAAATCGTATAGATAGGTCTAGTGTCGTCCTACACGGTATATATTAATAAATTGCAGTAAAAATATGCTGACGGTTAACGACGACGTTCCGGCGGCTTCGCGTTCGTTTTTCGACCACCTGTGCGGTCCGTTTTTTGCGGCGTTCCGAATTTTGGGCGTCTGTCCGTACACGAGGGATCGAAACGGTACTATAATATGTCACAGTATGATAATGTCGTGTGTTATATTTAAAAAAAAAAACCCGTTTTACTATTTAACAGCGCCGTATTAATAGTATACCTATTGTCCGTTAGATATTTTATTGTAATGGTTAGAAAATAGCCCTAATTCCATCTACCTCCATACAATTATACAGTTTATACTCTATAATGTCGCATGCCGTAATGTCTATGAACCCATTCCAGATTGTTCAATTTTCGGGGCCTTGGGGGTCCACCGACGATTTAAACACGTACGCGTAATCGCTTCGTGAGCACACCGATTTCAGCATATCTTAATCCTTATACAAAAGAACTGGCATTTTCTATGCGCCACGTTTCTGACGACGCTATGGAACTTTTTGGCGATTTTTCTTTATCGAATCATTCCAAATACTTCCCCGACTCCAAGCGTCCCATTCTTTGAAATTTTGACAGGATTGTGCCGTGGGAGAAAAACTGTTTTTCCGAAAATACCATCATCATATCCCAAGATTTTCCAGTTCAATTCAGTTCAGTATCCGATAAAAGTTTGTTTCTCAATGACGCTGAACAAAGCGCAAGGTCAGATATTCGTCGTCGTATTGTATAGTTGATATGGAAAGCAACTGTTTATCATATGGACTATAATAATATTGTATCGTTTTCTAGAGTGGAAAGACTCGACCATTTATACGTTTTAACGTTTATGTATACCACAACAATAAAAACTCCGAGTATGGTATATATCAAGTTGTTTTGACTTGAGTTATTTGTGAATATAGTATTACATTCTGAGTGCAATCTGTAATAAAATTAATTATATTACTGATATATATGAATTAAATTAATAAACATGTAATATATTATATTATATAAACGTATAAATACTCAGTGCTTTGTTAATGTGCATCAAGCAAAAGTTCAGTTTTAATGTAAAAATAAAAATTCGTACTTATATAAGTACTGAATTCTAATATATTATTTTGTATTACGATTATAATATCAGAATCTGTGCACACAATCATATTTTATAAATACTAAATATCATAAATTAAGTTAAATAATATATTGTAGCTATTACATTTTCATACAAATTGTGGACGGGCGAAGCCGGGAAGTTTAGCTATAGTGTATACAATTACTATATATTTAGTATATACTATAATAATAATTATTGGTGAATAATTATTATTGTCCCGGAGAACGTTTACGTAAATACTAAATACGCACCCCGCTGTCATCTCCATTATAATAATATTGTGGCAGCGTTTGATTTTTATTATTATTAATATTATCATCATTATTATCGTCATTGCCGTTACTATTATTATTATTATCATTGTTGTCGTATATAATATTATTATTATTATTATTATTATTATTACAAAACCGTGTACTCTTCGTGCATTTACCATTTTGATGCGGGGACCGATATTTAATAGTCGTGGGGCTTTCGAAACTGTGACGGGCCACGCGAGCGTTTCTGAGAGTAATGTCTTTTTTTTTTTAACGCTTTAATTTTATTTTTACATCCAACTCGTATTTTCCTGGTAAAAAAACGACCCGAGAGTATAACAAATGTAAAAATATAAATAAGAAAATATAAAACCACCACGAACTGTACCTACCATACACAATATCACGCTCACATCAGCCGTCGCCGCGCCCTGCCTGCTATTGCTGCAGGCTAACATTATACTACGGAAATACAATACCTACCCATATTATACTAATTATTATTATACTATTTTACGTAATGACGACTATACTGAAACGTATAGGTAGCCCCCCCCCACATTTCGTTTAATCACAATTCACAATGGTTATTGTATCTAGCAATCATAGTCCTGCAGATGCGTCATATTTTGAGGGGCAACATACCCTGTGGGTGATCATTCGCACCAATTTTTTGTAAAACGCCCACTTCATCTTTCCAAAATTAACATTTAAGCTCTGATGTGTGTTTTAAATCTGATATTTAGTCGGTATTTAGCTTGTTTTTTTAGTTTTAAAATTTATTTTTGCTGTGGTCCAACTCCCGAGTGGGAAGTTGGTCCCACCATGTCAAGATATTGTGCCAATATTTTGCAACTAATTTGCAACTTTTTGCAATCAACATAAAAAAAATGTGCAACCTTATTTCAGTTGTAAATGCTATACCAAAATTGATGATACCAAATGCACGCGCAACTCCACCACATCGTCGTACCAATACCTCAAACGTTTTCAATAATTTATAGTGTAACTGATTTGTAACTTTTTGCTTCCTTCGTGAAAAATTTTGCAAAATGAAATTTGAACTCTAACAATTGACCAATATTGTCAAGAGAAAATTTATAATAGTTATATATAATATTATTATTATATATTATAGTCATTATACCTATAACGATTATATTCGGAAAGTTCACTAAAAATTGAAATCGTTCACGTTCAGTGCTTAAAAAAGTAACTCGTTCAAGTTCATATTTTTTTAGCCACTTAATATCCGCTTTGCTCCCGCAGGAGTCTTCCGCAAGAGGATCGTGTCCACGTCCTCAGTGTACACGCTCGTCTCGGGAGTGGCGTTCGGGTACGCCACTGTCGCGGCTGTCCAGACGATGTCCCGACTTCCAGCTCCAGTGGCCATGTCCAAATTCAATCGCATACTTTTAAACTTTGCATACACCACGTTGGTCGCACCGTCCGCCGTCGTTCCCGTCATCATGTGGTTCGAGACGACCAAGCTCCAGGCGTACCTGCACGAGTGGCGACTGTTCCAAGTAAGGATGCCATCAAGTCGCACAATATTTATATTATTGCAGTTGTTGTTGTTGTTGTTGTGGTTCCTAGTGCACTTTATCGCGATGTCGGCCAAACATTGCAATAATGATATAATGATAATGTAATAATATTATATTGTAATCGGAATCTCTGCGAAAAGTGGGCGGGCAACCCACATTTACCGAACTAAAAATAATACATAAATATTTCTGTCTAAGGGAGGTATTATATATTATATGATAATTTTCTCGTTATTTATCGACAGGTTTGAAACGTCATTTGAACGTCCATAAGCATGATAGTTTCATTATTATTAAACGTCCCATACTTTATTCGAAGGACACGAGTTAAAATGACTATATAAATAGACTGTGCTTCTGTATTTTTTAGATTTTTTGGTAACAGAATTGACTACTTACTTGGAATCTTGTTTTAAATTTTCAATCCTTAGATATAAAAGTTGAACATTTTATAAATTTTTAACTACAAAATAATTATTCAATTTTAAATTTGATAAATTTTGTCAAAATTCGATCTTTAAATGCTTATAAAATAAAAATTGTACCTATGAATTTTTAATATTTTTCAACTGATATTGTAACAATATATCAGGAGCCTTGTATTAAATTTTTACACTGTTTGGCCCAACAGATAAAACTTTTCCATATTTTGTCAATTTTTGAACTCTAAATGCTTATAAAAAAAAACCGTGACTAAGGATCTTTAATGTTTTTCATCTTCCTTTGAAACAATACACTAGGAGCCTTCTATTAAATTTTCAAGCTTTTTTAACCAACAAATAACATTTTATTGATATTTTTAGAAAAAAAACTAAAAAAAAAATGAAAAATGAAAATGTCCCTAAACAGTTCAAAATAAACCAAAATATTTTGAAAATGTTATCGTGTATATAAAATGCAAATATAAACCACCAGTGAAAATTGCATACATCTACGGTCATTTGTTTTAAAGTTACACCAAAAACCAAATTCAATTTTGTGAAAAATCGACTTTGCGTAAAAATTCTAGGTTTTCCTTAATTTTTATTTTGTTTTTCTTGGCGCTTTTGAAAATCCTGAGAATTATAAATTTTGACCTCCCCAATGCACCAACGATATTCACTTTCCAATCGAACAAGATACTGAAGTTGAAAATCAAAGCATTATTTCGACGACTTATCATGTACATAGACACAAAAATGAAAAATAAAAACACACATCAATGTAAAATCAATACATTCATCGTTCCACTCAGAATCTAAAATTATATTATGTTATAACCAAAAATTGCGTTCATAAATTGTGTGAATTATGTATTATTTAAAATTTTCTTGTGGTTGTGCAGTAAATTGTGTATTTAAATCATAGCTACCAATTATTTTGCAAGTATCTACCTAAAATAAAGGTTCATTTGGAATACTGCTGATAATATTTTGTTGAATATTATTTTAAATTTTAATATTATACAAGCTTCTATGTAAATTAATTATATAATTATACAATATACGCACTAACAAAAATATGTTCAATAATGTCACGTGACAAGTTAATTACCTAATATTATTTTATTGTGTTACACTCATTGCTCGAGAGTCGTGACCAACTTTTATTATTTATAATAGAAAAGATTAATAAATATTTAAATAATTTTAAATTTTATTTAGTTAATAAATTAAAAATGTACAACTATGCATATTTAATTTATCATTAAAAAGTAGTTAATTGTTATTCGAATAGATATTATATACTTAATCGGTCATATATTATTATTACAATCCTCTTTCAATTCTTTGAAAAATAAATCCATAACGGAGTTAAATGGCTTGAGAGTCCTTTATTTTATATAGACAATATGTATTTAAATTTTAAAACCCTTCTATTTTTTTAAATGTAGGTACCTATATGTAACTAAGTAGGTACATATGTTTTATAGTTATTTTTTTCGTGATAGTAATAAGTCTCTAAACAATACTTTCATATTTGTTTTTATCTTGGTACAAACAAATTTATAAATAGAAAATTCTGATTTTAACATTTGAGTATTGTAGGATAGATTCAAGTGGTTTTACATTATTAACTCAACATTAACCTTATCCATTTAAATTGTTAAAGTGTCTAGTAGACAAATCAGAACATCAACGAAATCAGTTGTAACTTGTAATATTTTATGATGATTGTTTTTATAAATACATCGTATATCATATACATATGTATAAATATTCGAGTATATTATAGTACTGTACCTAAATTTTCCATTCGTCAAAAATGTCACATTTATTTCAGTTTCTCAACAATAATGTATTTAATGTTTAAACTGCTTCGTATATTTTCCATTATGTTATTTTTTCTACATTTACATGATCACATTATGTAAGTCTAATATTATAAATTACTTAACGTAATGGGAGTCACCACTGCAGTGGCATTGGGTCTTTTTAACTTGAGTCTCTGCAAACGTAAGATATCATCATCAAATACTAAGTGGCAAGTCTATACTAAACCACTAGACATTCTATAAATTGCATCATATAAATCTAGTTTTTAAGAAAATCTTTGTATAATAATATCACTTTAACGATGAACGAATATGATTTTTATGTGAATAATGTTTATTATTATTGCAGTCTACGTTAAAATATGTATACATTATACAAGGTATAGTATATATTATAATACTATCTACATTTATTAACCATCGTCGTGGAAATAACTCGAAAAGTAACAACTCAAAATATATATTTTAATTTTTAGCAACTATAAATGGATTTCATCATATTAGGAACAAAATTGTTGGAAATTGTTTTATCACATATTTCTTATGTTATTTTTTTAGTTGGGTAGTTTTTTTTATTTCCTCAAATGTATTTAAAAAAAAAAAACATTAAATTTCCCTATTAAGTACGCACAGATTGTTTACTTTACAAACGAATATCTACCTCCTTTAAAAATACTTATTATTGCTACACATTGTAAACATAAATAATAGATATTAAAATACGTCGAATTATAACATATTATAATAATTAATAATAATAAACAATAATTTTTGATCAAACAAGCACTTGATGAAAGCACCTCCTATATAATATAATATTATATAATAATTATATCAACAAGGCCGAATATTTAGGGATGAATGAACCAGTTTTACGTTTTGTGGCATGAGCATAATAATAAAATTATTATACCTACAATAAAAAAATTCGGGACGGCACAATGTACATTATATTTTGATACGTACGCCTAGGTTGCCTATAACTAGTTAACTAATTATGGAATGGTCAAAAATATGAAATATGAAATTGATTTAACAATTAACGGTACCTATACAGCACCGACATATTGGTTCTGACTTCTGAATGGTTTCAAACAATACTGATAGCGTATATAGTCGCCGTCGCCAGACATCCGAGTGATTGTGTAAGCTTATAACAGTGTAATATATAATATAATATAATATTAAGAATTTTTCATCGTTCCATTAAATTAGTTGGTCATTGTTGGAAAGCTAGGAACCGGAATCTGTTGGCCAATGTATTTTATTGATCGAATTTTTTAGTTTACTTACTTAGCACCAATTTCGTGGAAACCACTCGGAAATTACTTGATCCGATCAATGTATGGATACGCTTTGGACAACAAGCGAGAGCTGCAGGTCACGGACCATGCTACCTAGTTTGATCGACTTGCAATATCAGCCCATTTTTCAATTCGATCAGACAAAGATTGGTGTGTGGGGGGGGGGGGGGTGAGTGAGCAAAAACGTACGTAAAATTTGCCAAATAAAATTTTTAATAAATATCATTATTTATTTTCTCGCTACATTCTTACGGAACTTTTTCAAATATTTATTTTTATATATTTTTTAAAAATCAATTTCACGATATCGGAAACTAGCCGGCACACAGTGGACTGAAATGAATCTTGAAATTGAAAACAAATATCAAAAACTCATTGTCAGCAAATAACAAATAACAACCGGCTATATCCTGTATGATATGAAATATACGAGGAATGGACCTTTTCCAATGGAACATGGAAGTAAAAGACATAAAAAGTTAAAAAGGTTATGAATGCACAATAATAATATGGCAATAGCATTTTTTATTTCCCATAAAACTGTACAAGGTTCAAGGCGTCACAAGACCTTCCATGGCTGTAATTTTTGACATATTAGTGCGTCGCTGAATGTATTTTGCAAAATATAATGTTGGCTTTATAAATATAATATAATATAAACAATATACCATAAGTTTACAGTTTAGTATTAGGTATAGGTCATAGATGTACCCAAATTATAGTTTTTTTTTATAGTATTTAAATTTTAATCAAACAATTAGCAATATATTACCATATTATACAGAGTGATTTACCTATATTTATTCAATAATTTAACAATACAAAATTTCATTTTTGAAATTTTGAAATATACCAAAATGATCATATTTTTAGATTGTTGAGATGTTTTATACATTACTTAATTAGTGTCCTAGCTGTGTAGATACAAACTACTGTTTGTTAAACTGTAAATTATTTAGCTGAATATTTTTCTGAAAATGTTGAAATTTAAAAATTAAAATTTTGAACGAGTAGTTTTTGAGTTGATTTAACTTTATGTACAAAAAATAATGGTCAATGGATAATGGGTTTTAAAAATATGAAGGCTGTGGCGGTGATTTAAAAATGTTTAGTATATATGTAATTGATATTTTTCCATCAACAATAATTTATAATTATTATAATATTTGTAAAAATGGTCAAAATAGGTATAGTAAATATTAAATACTAGACCCAATACCAAAACATATATTTTATATTTTTCGTCAAACCATATTTAAGGATTATTATTATCTTCAGTATATACATTTTAATAACTGAGAAACCAGTCGTTCGAATTTTGAACCTTGAACATCAACATTTTCAAAATAAATTATGTGCTAAATAA